CCATAAAATTGTACCAGAAAGCTTTCTGGCCCGCCCCAGATGGATTAGTTACTACTTTAAAAGACCATATGTTTAGTATTACCATCATTGCCTCAATGTTTTCAGTATGTACTGAAAAAAAGAATTAAAATTTGTCATCAACTTCTGGGTCTATTTTGTTTATAGAATAAAGTCAGGCATAGCTGAACTAAAATTATCCTTAAAAATATTCAAAACCAAGCACAAAAAGCACTTAAATTAAGCCAAAATCTAGTTTTGCTGCATCTGCAGAAAAAGTTGAAAAAAGGAATGGATATGGCACCATAACAATAGTTTCAAGGGTTGAAAGATTTTTTTCAAGTAGGCTGAAGATATGCAAAGATGAATCACCTCAGAGCTTGCTCTCAAAAGTGATATATCATAACAGATCAAACTCCCCAGGGTCTGTGCTCCTGTCTACCAAAGCAAGGCTACAGCACCAGGCTTGATATTTTAAGAGCTACTGATTCCAGGGGGATCTTTGGACCAGCCCTTTAAGGAATGTAGGCAACCATAGTGCTTTGCCATTTTCTTTCAAAGCAGTGGATGAAATCATTTCCATATGTATAGAGAGTTTAAAACTGATAGCCTCTATCCCAGGAGGACAGAAAGTAATGGCTAGACAGTGTAGAAAACTCTCTCCAGAAAATAACAAATAACAATTCCTGTTTAGTACAAGGAATATTGCTTTGGTACATTAAAACAGAAACCGGGGGGGGGAAGAGAAGGAAAAAGAAAAATAATATTCATTCTCATTTTACATGAAGAAATCAAGGTCGAGTTTAAATAATTGTTCCAAATGACTTAATGAATCAGTGACAGAGCTGGGGACAAAAGCCATCTTCCCATCTATTTCCCTACCCCTCCACAAAAAGACTTTTACAAATATAAAAGTTCATATCAGATAGATCCATTCTTAGGGACTAAAAAGATTAGAAACCTCTAATTGCAACACAGACTTTACGAGGTATAAGGAAAATGGAGAACTTGAATTTTTAAGACAGATATTTCTCTACACAAAATAAATAAAAATGGAAAACAGACAATCCCAAACTGAAGGAAATAAAGGAACAAATCTTCTCTCCGAACACAAAGAAAATTAAGAACATCTGTTTCCGGATTTCAAGTGGGACAGAAGATGACACCTACTCCATCCTCCTCCTTCCAGTAGCAAAGACTGAGAACCAGCCTCAACTGTAGAAGAGGACAAGGCAGGAAAAAAATAAAAAAGCATCTAGGCAGTGTACTTCACTTTATGCCCCCTATATTATCTTCAGCAAAAGCTTACACATTTGAAACATTATCCAGAGCAATTTTAACTTCTGCTTCCCTCTCCAAACTCTTCTCGAGGTCATTTGGTTAGCCTCTCTAGTGCACTGGATGGAAATAGTAGTTGATGAGTACTAGAATACAGGCTTTGGAGAGATGTAACTTAACAGTTTTAAAAGGGGAAGGGGAATAGCTTCTCAGGTGAGGCATCAGCTGGTACAATGTAAATGTTACTCCTGCATGCCCCTATTGGAATATGAGGGAGATAAATCACATTTTATCCCTGAATGAAACCATATTAAAAACAAGTTACAATAATTTTGCTACAGGGGTTTAGGTTGTAGCCGTGTTGCTCTAAGGACATAGGCAGACAAGGTTCCTTGGGTGAATTTGATATCTTTTATTAGACCAACCCAAATGGTTGGAGAATGGTTATTAAGCAAGCTTTCGGGTTCAAAAACCCTTCGTCAGGCTAAGGAAGTTTCAGCAGTTGGCGTGTCTTAATAATAATAATTTTACTACACTTTCATTCCATAGGAGCACTTGTTATACTATAACAAGCTATGTCACTATTATTCAATGTTGATACAATTGTTATGTCTGTATTCCCTCAGTATGAATGCAGTTTGGATATATAAAAGAGCCAATCCACATCCCAAACTGCCTGGGAAGCTCTCTCATGAGAAACTTTGAAGCAGCGGCAATTTGGTTAATAAAAGGTCAGGATCACAGAAGATAACCGCAGCAGGACAGAGGATGAGATTTCCTCATTCGGGGGCAGAAGGAGTTGGGGGAGGAAGGACAAACTTTGTCCTGTTATGGATCTATGAAAATCATCCAGTGCCATCAGAAACTTCTAATTGCTCAGGCTGACATGCTTCTATCATACCCACCCTCAGTCCTCTCAAGACTAGTTTGGGGCGCTCATCTTACAGGATGAGCATTTTCAGAGAGATCAAAAAACATGCCTCATGTTTGAGTGTGTGGGAGGGAAACAGTAAAAGTGCCATATCTTACTCTTCTACTGTACCAAGAGTACTGGTCAAATAGCCAACACTCACTAGTACCACATTCTGAACCTCAAGGAATACCTGTTACTCCTAAGAAGCTAAGCTACGTCAAGACTCATTCTGTCCCGGACAAGCATGCCAAAGGTGTAAATCCAAACACACGGAGTATTCAACATGCATTTAATAAAACACTAGATTCAAGTTTAAATCTTGGCTCTTGTTTTGATCTACTGTGTGCGTCTACACAAGATGGTTTACTGCGCAGCAGACCAATTTGCTGTGTAGTAAAGTATCAGCACTGATGAATGCACAGCAATTATAGTGCATAGTAAAACTAAGACATACAAAAAACTAGAACTCTTGGTTCCAAAATGATACTTTTTATCAAACCAACTGGGAAATCGCAAGAAAACTGTCCTTTTCTGCAAGCTTTCAGGATCAAGGTCCCTTCATGAGACTTTGGGAAAACTATAGATGGTACAAGATGGTAAAAAGTCCTCATAGGTAGGAAATAAACTTCATTTTTGTACAGAGGGAGCTGAAGATGGAAGGCTGTCTCCCTCTGGGTCCAACACTCCTGAGTGGATAGTAGATTAATTTACTGTGCTGCCAGATTGCTGGATGCCACTTGTATTTTACAGAGCTGAGTAGTAAATTACTGCACTTAAATGCATGTGTACATGGTGACATCAGGATTAGTTTACTCAGGCTCAATTTGAGCTGAAGTATAGTCAGTTGTATTAACTGCATATGTAGATAAACCTACTGATATTAGAGTAATCAGAAGGAGGTTCAGTAAACTTTCTCAATCCCTTTAAATTAAAATAAGTCTCCATTGGGAGACTGAAATAATAAAAAAAAAGCTAGACCAGGTTCAATGAAATAGAAATCTTGCTCAGAATAAGTTTATCAACTTGCTCCCTACCTTGCCCTACATGCTCTTCTGCTGCTACAGAGAGCAAGGTTTTAATCTTCAGGGACTACAGGGACCAACAGGTGACATATCAAAACAAAAATCCTGTTCTCCTCCCTGGAGAAACAGATGAAATAAAATAGCTGTAAGTAGGTTGTATGGAGGAGTCCATTTAGGTTTCTGTGAGATATATTCTGGGGCATGATACATGTGAGAAAACAGTGTTCCAGAAAAGAACAAACATCTTGTTTTGGAAAGTCCCATGAAAGAAAAAAGATCTTATCTAAACAGTCTGGGGTTGCTGGCTCCAGCTCCACATGGTAGCTCTGGCTATGGACTGGCCCTGCATGCCAAACCATTTCGATACTCAGGACCATGTCATCTTGTCAGAAGGCTCCCCAGGGGTCTGGAAATTTGGCAGCAGGGAAGCAGTGACAGGGTTAGTTGCTGTGGCTCCCAGAGCTGCAACAATTAATGCTGTCACTGCTCCCCCACTGCCTAATTTCTGAACCCCCTAGGAATCCTTATTTCTTGCACATAATGCACATCCTAGGCTGCTGACAGATGAGGAAAAAAAAACAACCACCAGTGCCTTACTGGAAGAGGCATTGCATTAGTTTGACCTGGCCCCCCAGATCCTGTATAGATCGAGTGCTGCAGTGGGGCTTTCCAGAGGTTTTATCTAAAGCGGATTCAAGTGCCTGAACTATACAGACGTTGGGTGAGCAAGGACAAAACACAAAATCCCTCTTCTGGGCATGAGCTGTGCTTGGCATGGGGGTGTGCTGAGCTTAAAGTAAAGTGCTGTTTGCTCTTTTTCCCCTATGCCTGTAAACAGCCCTAATTTCCCCAAGTTGATTTAGGGGAAAATGTGCATGTTTTGTAAGAGAAATAAATCTACTAGGTTTTTTTTTAAATCTTGATCTGATTTTAGGATTTGAATCCTTCTAACACTTTCATTTAGAGGTACTGTATCAGGGATAACTCTATAACTAATTCACTGTCAGTTTTGTTACACAATGGAAGAGAAAACTGATTGATTAGTAAATTAGTTACATTTCCTGTTAATTTTGTTTATATTTGTTTTCAAATATAGTTTGATATTATCTGTGAACAAAAACCAGCAAAGGAAACCAGAAGAAAAAGTATACAAGCACTTGGTTAATGATGTCTATAAGTCACAACTGTGTAATTAGATACTTTGCAGTAATTAACATTCCCATTTAGATCTTGTTTACTGCTTTGACATATCTGCAATTAATTTTTAAAAGCATGACTGAGAATTTATTGAAACAACATCTTAACTGTTAAAAAAATAGGAGATGACATCTTGTCACTTACATTGCCTGAAAGAACATATTTGGGATTTCAAGCTATCTAACATACAGTCACCCACTGGGAAGAACAGAGCCCCATGTGAAATAGGTATATTTGACTTCATCTGTTATACAATCTGATAACAGGAAAGTCCAGTCAAGTCAATTATTTTGTCTGGACACGTCCCCATCAGAAAGCCATTTTGATAAAATATACAACCTTTGGTTGGGAAAAGAGTAGGTTTTAGCATACAAATGACCTTGTGAAAGATGGAGTGGATGACCTGCCATGTCTGCCCTCTGAGTCTAAAACTTAAAATACCATGTTACTATTTGAAGCAGAGATTACTTATTATACCAATCTATGGGAAGAGGAAAGAAGCAAACATGAAATATGTATTGATGTTGGCTTTAAAGTTACGTATTTTTCAAAGATGATGTGGTTTTTAAAAAATAGCTGAATAGTATACACACCTGGTTTCCCCCTGCATTATGGCATTCATAAACCCCAACAACACCATCTGCAAAGTGGCCCAAAGTGTCGAGGCAATTGGTGCCCTGCTGCAGAGCCCCAAAAGCTATATCTTGATGATCAGGTACCCTAAAATAGAAACAGAAATATTCATTTAATTTAATTTTCTCCCCAGTTTGTCTCCCTTCCTTCATTTAAACAGATTTCTAGGATGCAATAAATAACAACTAGTAAGTTTCATATAAACTATATTCAAGTTCCCATGAAATCTTTGGTGGTTAGGATAAACAATTTAAGCTGGAGAACATGCTGCCATAACCTGCCATTTTAACTACAAAATTTCCTCAAAACTAAAACTACCCTGAATTTAAGATGACCACCCAATAGTTAGATTCTATGCATGGACAATCTATAAATTTGTTATAATTTTCCAAGTATAGGAGGCTCATCTTTAATTCATCCCTTCCACTACTGCAGGGGGGCAGGCAGTGGAGAGGCAGGGAATGTGGGGAGGTCAAGCAGCTTGTTCCTTGCTGGTGCCTGCCCCCCTGCCACCTCTGCCCCCTGCTTGCACCTCTCTACCCTTTGCTCCCTGCAGGCAGACTGCGACCCCGTTCTAGTTCAGAACACTGAGCACAGCCCCAGCCCAGCCCCATAGTGTGCCTGTGGGCTGTGCTGCTGCTATGGAGCTGGGGTGGGGCCATGCTTAGTGCCCCAGGCTGCAGCATGCACAGAGCCTGCCAATGCAGAGCAAAGGTAAGGGGGTGAAAGGGGAAAGAGAGGGGTAGGCAGGGATGCAGAGGCTGCATAGGAGGTTGGGGAAAAGATGGGGAAAAGAGGGTGCAGGGGGGAGGTGGCAGGGAGCAGTGGGGGAGTAGACAGCAACTGCAGCTATGGCACTGACCCCAGATAGGGGCTGGAGCCCAAGCAACAGCAGCTGTCTGCTCCCCTCCACCCCCGTACTTGATTCTGAGACAAAGGGGTCTCCTCCCTTAAATGGGGGAAAAAACCCTCATCTTTAGAAACAAGTAGATACAGTAAATGGTCCAATAAAATGAAACTATAGGCTCACTAGTAGATGACTGAATTATACTAAGAAACTGAAGTGAACATTTGAATTCTCATGACTAGAGAGATAGACTGAACTGGCAGTAATGCCTATAGTTAAGGTTGTCTAAACACTTCCTATTTATAGAAGCCTTGTTCTCAGTTGCTTATAAAATATTGCCAAAATTAAATCCACTGAGGCAGAATTTTGGCACACTGCATCACTGTCTCAGGCCAACTTTCTCTTCTAAATTAAAAAAAAAAGTCAAATAAAAAAAAGCTCCACAGTTTTTCCATTTCTGAAAATGGGTTTACGGAAAAAAAATTGTTTTGCCAATGTTAGGAAGTTATTCTACTGTTCCTTTGAGCAACTCAAGTGTCTCCCTGCTTTCAAGTGGGGATTTAATATTTGGCAGAGGCACGCTGGGGTCAAAAAGCTGACTTTTATAGCTCCCATGAAAATTCAGCTACCTCTGGCCAAGTTATAAGCCACTAATCAGTTTGCTCCTTTTTCAGTAGAAGCTTGCAGCAAGTCTTCAGATATTTCATTCGCATCAAGCATGTTCCAGCTCATCATGGAGTAAATTTTTTCTTTAAGTTGTTTGCTCAGCTGATGAGGAGGATGCAACTAAGAACTTGAAAAGCACAACTCACTGTGTTCCCAGGGCTTACTCTGTTAGTGCCCCAGTAGCATGAAAGGAGAGGAACACAGCCCAATTCAAAGGCAAGGGAGTGAACAAATGAAGAGATGGAATAAAAAAAGGAAGGCAAGTAGAATAAGGCAGGCTGTGCTGAGTTTCCTTGCTCCTTCTAGTACCCTCTGCCATGATTGTTTTGGCATAGACTTAAAAAGTGAGGTTAAATATTTAACTATTAAGTTCCACAATACAATAAATTAATATTTCAAAAATCTGACGTGGAAGAATTAGACATATACAAGTCACAGGAACCAAAACATACTTGTTATAAGCGACTTTTAGGCTTTTATTAACTGAGAGCATATTCCACCATTAAAATGCATCATTGCCATCTTGATTAAAATTCAAAATGGCACCATGGTAATGGAACAAAGTTGCACAATAAATGCGTTAACTGTCTGGGGACTTGCTAGGATAGGAAGGTAACTAGAAATTTAAAAGATTTCCCTTTAAGATTAAAGTGAATGTACTTAAATTCATGAAACACAAGAGAATCTATGCACATCCATTTGGAAGGCAAAAATAGGAGGAAGAAGAGAGTCAGAGGAAAAGATGCTGTCAGAGTTTAAGGGAGGTCACTGCAGCTAAAACTAATACATAGTAAACATCAAGGAAGTTTCTGAAGACAACATAAAATGATGTTATTTCCTTGTCCTCATCACCCTTCTTTGTAAGACAGATGCCAATATGTAGGGTTCTAAAAGCTTTCACTGAGGGAATAACGGCTGATACTTTTGCACACAAAAAGACACTGTACTAGCAGAATTTATTTCAGTGAATTCTGACAAAGTACTTTGAAACAGCTAGAGAAAGAAATGTACTATTTTTGAAAGCCACACATAATCCTACAATTACTTTAAGATGATTTATGCATATGGTATACATACCAAGTTGGAGACTTAGAGGTCTGATAGGGAAGAATACTGGTAGCCTAGTGTTAATTACTCATTTGAAACCCAGTAAAAAGAAATATAGCTCTGAGGATTTTTCTACCTTACAGAGAAGAATGGAAATCCATTAGTCAGGCTGCATTCTAAGTAACAACATACACTCACACTGTGCAAATTTAACCTTCAAAGCTTTTTAGTAGTTTTAGATCAGTCACTGTTTAAGGCAGGTGGCATCTTGTTTTATGCAGGTGATAAACGGAGACAAAAGGTTAGTGACTGCCCAAGATGACAGATTCTGTGAGAAATGGATTAGAATAAGCCTGCCTAACTCGGGGCTGTGCTCTAGCCAGTGCCTTCAAATAAGCTCAACTTTTGCGTCTGATGATGGGTCAGTCGAAAAAAAAAAAAGGCAGTTTAGAATGAAGTAATAAGCCAAGAAAACCCACTATCAGAACCATGATCAAACTAAATATCCCTTGGATGCAGAAAGGAGAAAAAAAAGTAACAAGACAATTCGGGGGAGGACCACCCCACACTGCTGTGGATACAGACTATTTGACACTCACCTTAACTCAGGATAGACATTTTCAAGATACCACTTGAAGGGTTTGCAGCTAAGTCTTTTCCTCAACTCCATTCGGCTTTGAATGCTAAAGAAACCAAAACAGCAACTTACAAGCTCTGGCAGTTGGATTTAAATACATTTTAGAGAATATTCAAAGCATATTTACAAGATGACACATTTCTGTAGACAGATTTTAAAGAATTGGAGTACAAAAACTAACATTCCTTCACCCTCAGAGAATACGGTCTTGAGCAGAATAAGTGAATAGGAAAAAGCAGGTCCAACTTACTTGCCATAAGGTACATTTCTGGCAGAAGGCACTGCTGCATAATAGAAATTTTTGTACTCATCCATCCAGACTTCTGCAGCCCTACGTGTATTTCTAGGAGCAAAATGATTTAAGATGTACGTTATATTTTGTCCTACTGCAGTTAATCATGTCATTTATTCTATGCTTAAATTACCCACCATTACCACACGGTTTGCTGTCATAAGCTCAACACATTTCCATGTTAGGGAAAAAAAAGAAAAAGTGAACAGGCTTAAAAAAAAGGAACAAAAAATCTGAGGTGGTGTGCCTGCAAGATGTTTTGAGATAAATTTCTGTGCCTTCTCTACATGAACATCTGATCCAGGCTTTTATTTAGAAAGATACAAATTTTAAACACACTATTTTTTAGTGTCCTTTCTAATAAAAGAAATGTTATTACTTTATAAGTGGTTTTTGACTCAGTATTTTAACCTGGAGAAATATTCAAGGTCTCAATAGCGGACAATATTTGAAAATGTGCCTTTAACTTTGCAGTAACTTTCAATGACAGTGAAATTTTCACAGAAAATTTAACTCACTAACTTGAGGAGAATGCATGTTTCAATCTTCTTTCTGAACCTACCGACACAACAACAAGAGCACTATGTAGATATAATACAAAACACTTGAAAATAGTGAAACATTTAGGTTTATGACCTAACAGACTTTGTTGCAGTGGAGGTGACAGATAATTGTCTAACCTTCAGCTTGTGTTTCTGCTACTTCTGAAACACTGTCTAAAATTCATACTTAGTGAGCTGCTGCACTAAACAGAAAATTTCCTGAAGTTTGTTTTCTGACACTTTCTTATATTTTTACATAACAGGAATCTTTAAATCCATTCTAAACTGCAGTAGGACTATAATTTATCATTTTGTAGGATGTCTCTTTTCTTATTAAAAAAAAAAGTTTCTACTTTATATATAAAGTACATGCACCATATTTAAAAACGTGTGTATGTGAGAGAGAGAATCTGTTTAATAATCATTGAATAAAGCATAAAATTGCTTCTTGTGACTGTATTCAAGATACGTACATCAATTAGTTGTTTACTATTAAACAGATAGTCTTGCACAGAACCATGTTATTTGATTAGAAATTATCAGCAGAACACCTCCAGTATGATACATACACTTACACAGAGGCAATATCCTTGTAGCTGTCACAACCCAAAAGGTGTGATTTTTATTTGTGTGTGCTTCGGCACTGCTAAATTGTCCTCGCTAAATTGCAGCTTCCTTGCACAGTGGAGTTTTCTGCTGCAGAGGAGAACCCCGGTGCAAGGGAGAATTTCCCGCCAATTTGGAGCTTGTTTTGCAGGGTGCATTTCTTTGCTGCAGAGAGGGGATGCTCGTTGCAAAGAGTTCCCGCCATTGGTATGCTAATTCGAGTCCCATTATTGGCCAGTTCTAAATTATTCACACGTGGCGGCTAGTGATTGGCTTGCTAGCCGTATAAGAGGCTGGAGTGGTTTCCGCCCAAGTTGGAGGACTCCACGAACAAGGGAGGAGGAGACTTCACGCTGTGTGAAGATCTCTAAGCGCTGCGGATCCTCACGGACCCAGTGCATTTGAAGCAAGCAACGGAGATCTGATCAATCTCTAGCCTCTCCCCGTCGCCGATAGAATTCCTAGACGTACCCCTCCCGCGCACTACGAACCGAACCCACGGAGCCTAGCAAACTTCATGTGGATGAGTGAACGGAAGAACCCACGGAGCCTGACAAACTTCGTGTGAGCCCTTACGATCGGCCTCAGAGCTCTTCTATCCGGGTTTGAGTCCTGCAGGTTTATTTTCTCGTCGCCGGAACCCTATGCGACGTACCCTCGTGTTCTGCAGGTTCGAGTTTTTGTTTTCTTTTCTCTTTCTGTAACTGCAACTTAATCAAGCTTTCCAGCCTACACCACTGCCATCTCGGTGTAAGTAAACAATCTTTTAAACTACCGATACGCGTCCGTGCCTAATTCCAGAGCGAAGGCCTTCCCTCTCCGCCCCCGCGTGCCCGGGCTGCTGGCCACAGCCCGCGTGCAGCGCGAAAAAGGGCTCGGGGCGCTCCCGGCCCGCACAGTAGTAAATACTGCAGACCCAAGTGATTAATATCATGTATATGACTTCTTCCCTTATCTTCCTCCCACTAATCTATTACCTCCCTAGACTTATTTTAACATTCCAGAGTGCTAGGTAGATTCCAACAGCTTCTTTAAAGTCAACCTAGCAAAGAAATATTTCCTCTTCCTCTTGGTATACTAATTTTTGGCACCTTTTACACCTATTTTTAGTGTCCAGCTACTCCAATACAGCCAGAACCCTTAATTTTTATGAATTGCTTTAATTAACATAGCCCATCCAAAAACAATTCTAGTGAATTGTAAAGGACTCTCATGGCATTTCAGGTCAAAGGGCAATGACAAAGAACAGGTGTGGGGAAAGCTAGACCAGAAGCAACACTGGATTAAAAAGCTTCAACAATCTTAAAAAAAATAAAATAAAAAAAAAAATCACTAAGGCTTGAACAAAAATGGTGAAGGTTTGTTTTTCTTTCCTTTTTCCCACCTCACACATTATATGATCCAAAAGGATTCTGCAATAAGAATGCAGCTTCCCCAGTCATATGCGAATGTGATGCATCACATTTAACATGGACAGACATCATCGTCCTGTTTTAAAATTCCGAATCCTGTATTTATTCAAAGCTGACTGGAGGAAGGATTATCTTAGCATCAGGCCGAAGACAGAAATTTGAATAAAGTATGAAAAACCCCCCACACCAATGTATATTATGTAACCCTTTTTATGACATTCTGTGAAAGTCATTTCATATGTCTAAATAATATACTTAAATAAATAGATCCTCTCACCTCCTCCCACAACTGCAATATAAGTACTGGAATAAGGTGTCTTAATTATCAACTTTTGTTTTTTCACATGCCAAGTTTTTCCATGGCAGTCTAAAATTCAAAACTCAAAGGCAGGGAACCAGCTAACAAAAGAAAAAAATATCTTGAAATATCTTGAGAAATATATTAAGAGAAATAAGGCCCACAATTGTATTTCACCAGGTAAACCCATTCACTAGCACCATTTGACAAGCAGAATCAGTATAACCCCAAAGAAATCTGCAACATTAGAGTTCTTGATATAGTATGTTATACTATCCTTAACAAAACTACCTGGTTTGAAGAGCACATGACTGTGCTTTAAGTAGACTGTGCTTAATATAACTTGTTTAAACTCCAGACTTCCTTCAGCACAGGCAGCTATTTTATTTGGTTTGCATCTGACACCTTGTAAATCCCATAAATTAGGACTCTGATGCTTCACTGAATTGTGAGTAATTGAAGGAATTCCCAAGTACTGAATATCTGTTGTACCGAAAAAACACATGGCACCTCTGACAATACCTCCTCAAATATTTCTTTTACTCCCAGGCACTTAAGACACTTGCACACATGCAAGGAAATCCAGTGCGTCAGAGCAGACTCTTAAAATCGAGGCTGCTGGGGCATGTAAATTGACATGCTCTGGCAGCCTTGCTCATCACATGCATCAGCAGCGCAGCACACCTCTGCACTGAGAAAACAGCGGCAGTGTACTCTGAACTAAAACACGTTTAGTACAAAGTGCACCAACGCTGTTTTCTCAGCACAGAGGTGCTCTGCACCGCTGATACACGTGCTCCTGATGCGGTACCGGGCACTTTTAATTAGCATAGTTCACCAATTAAAAACGCCCAGTGTTGCATCGGCAACACATGTAAAAATAACCTTACAAGTCAAAGCACTACATAGGTATCAAACCTCTTTATGAATGTGGATAAGAATCACTACCACCATTCTATAGAAAGAAGACAGAAAAAGCCAAGGTCACACAGTTAATCAGCAGCAGAGCTGTAACATCTGATCTACTGAAACACAAGGTCTCTCAAAAATATAAAAGTATTTTTTTCTAAACTGTAGCATTAGGAAGGAAACTTGATATAGCAGATGCAGAAAAAAAAAAAGAGTGGATGCCTACTGTACACTAGATTCCAATGGGTATTACTCAGTGTGCCAGCATGTCTACATGTGCATTAATGTGCCATAGTTACTGCACATTACATTTAGTACCTGTAATAACAGGTCCTAAATGCAATGCAATGCACAGTAACCGGAGCTACTGCGCAGTAACACCAGTGCATGCTTTTTTGCAATGCTAATGCATTTAGCATCTTGTATAGACACGCCCAGTCTGAACAGAAAAATCTGAGTTTATGCGCTGACAATTTCATGTACTTGTTCAACACAAAAGCAAAGCAAGGAATATACAAATAGGCAAAAATATTTGTTTTGAGAGTTTTTCAATGATCAACAAAATTTCAGGAAAATGCAACTTTTAAAAACAGTATTGAAAAAATCCCAAAATACAGACTGTTGATAAAATCTTTCAAAAGATGAACAAAGTTTTCAATTTTTCGCCCTCACAAAGTCACCAAAGCCTTTCTTCCCTTTTCCTCCTTCCCCAGATTTTCACCTGGTTGATAAAAACTCAACAAATTCCCTCCCCTTAGTAAAAATGTTTATTATGTAGCTTCCCTGGCCCAAACTGTGTATTTCCTGAGTTATGAAAGTTATTTACCTTTTAATTGTTTGGGTTTTTTTTAAACACTTGAAAAAAATGCAGGTATTGCTAGTGAAAGGGCCTGCAAGTATAATGAAGTTACTGCCACCTGCTGATCATCTGAAGAAATCCAAAATCCCATATTTCAGCCAAGAATAGACAGAAAGTTACCTTGCAAACACAGTACCGCTCCCACCAGGAAATGTGTAAGGATGCTGTTTGCGGAAGACATGGCCCACTCTGCTGCATGGGATAATTTCAAGGCTCCCACCACACTGCCAAACTCTGAATGAAATCTCTGCAATAAAGACATATGCAATAAGTAGTCACACATGACAAAAAAAAAAAAATGTGTACATTTTGAAGCTTACCAAATGTTTACCAATCTCTCAACAATATATAACACAGTATTAAAATAAACAAAAAACAAAACACTTAGGCAAGTGCAAATGAACATTTGGAGGTACCTAACTATATGAATAGTAAGATGCCTCTCTAGTTTGTTAATGAACTTCTTCAGAATCTGTGCCTGACCATGTCACTTCATTCTTCTCTAAATTCATGTATGAATGACTTGTGTATGCACTTGGAAGCACAGCCAAACAACTTGTAGGTATTTTTTAACCAAAGTCATCAACACTTGTAAGCCATACTACTCTCTGATAGTTTAAAGCCGCTGTGTATTTTTAATGGATGTTATTTAAAAAAAAAAAAGTATGCAAGCACATTACTGAGCTAGGTTACCACAAATTTGCCACGCTAATGGAACAATACAATAAATCAACTTAAAGCCATAATTAAGACTTGACTCAACAGCACAAACAAGCAAATCACTTAAGTTAATACAAGAGATAAACTGAATTATAAAGGCTGGAACTAGAAGGAAATACTTCGCAGTAGTCTGAATTGAGAGAATTTAAAGGATGGGCCTTATTCACTACAGGGTGCAAGGCTTCTATCCAATACACTTCACTGACTAGCTGGTGAGGGACAAAGTCCTAGAGAAACCAACAGCTCATAGATACTCGTGTCAGTTCTGGTCTCGGCCCCCTGCCAAGGAAACTCACTCAGAGAAGTCCACAAGTTCATTTTAAAGAAGTCAATTAGGAGTGCTTACAGCAGCTATGCTTTTACTAACTCTTCCTTAAATCCGTTGCAAATTATTGGGTGCTGTTCTTTAATAAACAGTCCCTTCACAATAACAAAGAAAAAAACTATTAAATTATATACGTATTCCTTTAATTCAGAAGAAACTATTCACTCAATGATAGGTTGCTGTTTAATTTGAGAAATGGTTACTATTTCCCTTCCTTCTCCAAGAACATTCCCAGAGGCCCTCACTAACGACAATATATGGAAATAAAAAATGAAGGTAGCCTTTCAGAAATGAAAAGATTAAAACTTAAAAAATAAAAAATCTAAACTACTTCTGCCTATTTTCTTGAGAACATTAACTCACATGATGATTGTTTGTTCCCTGGAATCAGATGGTCGAAGTCTTTAACACGTGTGGGATCTCTCTCTGGCTAGGTTACAAATGGTACAAGCTGGCTTTGCTGATAATACCAAGTCTTCACTACTTTTTCCTCTGGATGGCCTGGCCATGGAAGGGAGCACAACATAGCTATGGATGTTGTAGATTATATAACAAAGAATTGATTTTCTTTTAAATTGTTTTTCTTTTTATAGGGATCAGTTCCACTGTTTTGGCTTTGGGGCTAATAAGGTGAATCCAAGCATTCTGAGTAGCTGAGGTATAATTCTCTCCAATTGGACAATCTTTAGGCTTTAAGCCATGGTGAAAAGTTCCATCCCCAAATGACCAGTAATTCTGCAAAATAAGCAAGGTTAAGTTGTAGTTGGATAATCTTCTGAAAAAAATACAGCATCTAAGGGGACTTTGCCAGGAAGGCTGTTATGTCTATCTTCTGGCACATGAACACACAATTATCAGAAATTATCTTTTATAAAATATCTAATGATCTAAATTATTCTCTCCATTCTCTCATTGCCTTGCATGGCAATTAAGTGTTTTCAGCACTTCTGAGCCCTGACCTCTTACTGACAGAAAACTACTTGTTCTAATGGCTTTTGACCCCAAAACAGAAAGCTGCTTTATCAGAATGAATTCTACTTTTAATTAAAAGTTTTTCCAGACTCAGTTCAAATTTGGGCTCATATGCCTCACATTTGAAAAGTAGCAACACCTAATGGTTTTTATAATTTTTTTGCCTAACAGCATTATTTATCAAGTGTGACTCATTAGCATAAAGCTTTACAAGAGAGTTTACACAGCTCTTTGCCCAGAGATTAAAACCTACAAGAGGACTGATACAAAAAAAGAACAATTCAATTCTAGGGCAGGTTAGGAAAAGTTACTCAGTAATAAAAAACTAAGTGAAGGTAGCTGAACTCAGTAAAAGATACTTTTGTATAGTTCCTACAGACAAGTAGGCATGGAGCAAAAAGCACAGCAGAAGTCAACTTTAGATTCTCAGGGGTTTGGTTGTATGCTCTCCTGAAGGCAAAATTAGACATCAGACTTTATACTGTAAACAAAGAGAACTAGAATTATTTTTTAAGGATTAAACTCAGTCTAACAAGACATTGCACATGGGGGGGGGGGAAAAAAAACGTATTGCCGGGGGGGGGGGGGGGGGTGGAGGCCCCAGTGGTGAGGGAGGGAGTGGGCTGGGGTGAGTGTGGCTTCAATCTGCACCCCACACCAGTGGTGAGGGAGAGAGTGGGAAGGGGGGTGGGGGGGTGGCTGCAGCCACCCCAAAATTTGCCATAGCCTCCCCAACTCCCCTCTCAGTGCTGCCACTGCCTGCCCCGAGTGCAGCGTGGCCCAACTCCCTCCCCCGCAGAAGAGCCCAGTGCTTCCCCTGAACCCAGCCCACAGCGGCAGCCTGTAGCAGCAGGAGCCATGCCCTCCATCCCAGCTGTGCAGCATCTGCCTCTGCTCCAGCCCCATCCCTGCCTCACCACCACCTGGGGGCCAGATTGAAGCCTTACTCACCCCAGCCCTTGGGGCCAGGCTTTCTGGTGGGGGGAGTTGGGCCACGCTGTGCTCAATGAGGGCGGCAGTGGCGCTGGCCCCCTTCCAGTGCCACCGGCACGCGCCTCAAATGCAGCTCAGCCCAGTACCCCCACTGGGAAGAGCCCAGTGCCGCTCCAGCCCCAGCAGACTTACCTGCTGCCAATGCAGTTGAGGTCCTGGAACGTATCCCTATTTGTTAACTTGTAAGGTGGGTTCCCTTTATGCAAATTCAAGTTATGCACAGTTTTTCAGGAACGAATCTACTGCATAAAGTGAGGGAAGCCTGTATTCTATAGTCAAGTTCTGAAAAAGTATTTCAGTTTAAATAAGTTTTGGAATACCCTTCATGTGCAAATTAGGGATGTAAATGCTGATTAAATAAATATTCGTTTAACCTTTTGCGATTACAACAGGTTAAACAATTCATCAGTTAGGCACAGGGATGGAGATGGGCATGGCAGTGCTGGGCTCCAGCCTGTGGCTCTGAAGTTGGGTGTTGGGGGTAAGAGGCAAAAGAAGGGTGCATTGAGCCCCAGATGCCTGCCCTTCTGTGGAGAAGGGACTGTAGCCACCTGCCTTGAGCAGCACGGGGAGCTAGGGTCCAAAGCAGTCCTACCAGGCAGGTGGTACAGCCCAGGAAGCACATCTGGCGGGGTGAGGGAGAGGGGAAAACAGTAGCCAATGAGGGGCTGCAGCCACTGATGCGCAGCTTCGCAGGGCCAGCTGCAGCAGCACAGGTAGGAAGAGGGAGGGGAGAGGCAAGCAGCAGCCAGCAAGGGTTTACCAGCCGCTGGTGCACTGCAAGGGAGAGAGCAGGCAACTACTCTCCTTCCCCTCCCTTCTCTTCTCTCCCTCCCTGCCACCTTTCTGGTTCCTCCTAGGGCACGGCAGGGTTTTCTTTCCCCTTCCCTTCCCTCCCAGACTGCACCGGGTCCCAGGCTAAATGATAACCAGTAAACTAGAACCGGTTATCGCTGAGCTGATCAATTAAATGATAAATCGTTTTACTGTTCATATCCCTAGTGCAAATCTTTATTTAATTATGAATAAGTCTTGGAAAAAAAACTAAACATTTGAAGTGCTCCAACTGCCTCTGAAGCATTCCACATAGCAAGCACAGATGTGTGCACACACAAAGAAGTGCTTCAAAAACAATCCTCAAAAAAGAGGAGGAGAATCTTAAAAGTGTTTCCTGAAATGTCTACAAGCTCCATGGAGCACAGCAGGGGTTGCTTGGTCCTTTGGTACCCTCCCCCAAGCCAGTGAGAGGCGAAGACGTGGGGGATGCTGGAGGAGTGAGCAGTCCTCTGACTGGAAAGAACTACTGATATGTGCCATGTCAGTGACTCTGAAGCGTTGGGGAGGGCTGAATGCCTGTATAGCACTGAAATGCTATGAATTAAAAAGTATAAATTTTGAGCCCTTTCCAATATACATGGCCACAGTCACCTTCATTACACATCACTAAGTTTATGGTAAATAGTTCAGTCAACCTAATGCCATCTCCCATCAACTCTCACAATAGTACAGTATATTGTTACAGGTTTTGGGAAACCTTAAATCCCAAAGAAGCTGGGCAGAGAAGGGTAGAGGATGAGAAGTAGCTAAAGGGAAGGTGAAAGGGGAAGGTAGGGACACATATGAACAGGAATGGGGTAGATTGGTTATCATTTAACCAACTTTACAGCTAAAACCTGAATGGGTTTAAGATGAATTTAAAATCACAAGGGGTTGAAGATTTTAAAATCCTTATTTTTTGCTTTTGTCCACTTTACTGCATCAATATAAAAAACTATGAAGGAAAACCACTATGAAAACATAGAATCCTAACACCTAAGGGTAAACTGAAATGTGTGGCAGTATATTCAATTTCCCGATATATTTTTCAGTGCTATTGTGCAGACATCTTTCATTATTCTTAGGAGTGGCAGTCCTAAAGATCAAGAAAGGCTGAACACATCATTGATCTACAGCCATTTTAATATACTTTATACAACAAATAAACTGTTATCAATGATTTAACAGTGAAAGTAAAATATATCACCTCACAGTGGTAAAGACAGTCTTTCAGACTCTTTCAAATAAATATGAAACCAGCATCACAACACTGGAAACATGATTTATAAATGAGGTATAAGTACAAATATACGGACAAATTAATGTCCCCCACTGCATATCCTAGAAATTTTAAAAGATCAGCAGAAAACATAATGGAGCTTCTTTAAAAGTACCATATTTTCTTGCATATCATGTGCCCTCAAATAAGACATACCTTTTTTGGGGGGAAGGCAGAAAGATGGAAAAAAGGAGATTTTTCCAGGGCAGGGACTGAACCTAATCTGCAGCTGCTCACCCTCCTTTTCCTGCTTAACCAAGAGCTGAAAACCTAGCTGCTGCTAAAGGCTGGCCTCCACAGGTTATGATTTTGAAAAAAAGCTAAAAACGACCTACAAACCTATGAAATAGGAGAAGGGAGACCAGGAAAAACAAGCAAAATTGTCAGAAGAAAAAAAAGTTAGCTTGATTAGTGGAACATCAAAACCATTAAAAAGGACATATGGTAGTTTACACCCATGGAGTAAAGAATAACGAGCCATTAAGTCAGCTAACTTCTTCAGTCTGAATATAAATGCCACTATTGCTGTGAGCAGGAATCATAGTGGGGTGCTTCTATACACAGGAGAAAATCAGCTTTCCTACTTAAGATGCACCACAATTTTGGGGAGGCTGATTTTTGGGGAAAAGGTGCATGTGGTACGTGTAAATCATATACAGTATTTTATAGATAGTATACATCATATATAATATTTTACTCAAATATAGCACCAGTCTAACCATATCATTACAGCAGTAGGAGTTTATACAGCAACAGATGTCAAGCTGTCAAATGTAGATATCAGGTATCTGGTGTGTACTTTGACTATTATTTTGAATATAAAATTCAGGCCTTTCAATTATTCCTACCAATTTTTTTTTTCCCCCCAACTAGTACGTACTGTGATAACTTCAGTTACCTTCTCACTAAGCTTAGCACATCTGTGCTGTAAGAAGTCAAAAACTGGAACAGAAAGAGAAGACACTGATCAAGGAGACCTCAAAACTACCTCTAGCTCCCTCCATGTGGGAAAAACAGAAGACAGTGCAGCAGAAACAGAGACGTCTTGCTTGTTCATCTCAAAAACTCCTTGCTTGGAGAGAGGGTGCAACTTGATTCAAAGCTGACAGAACCCAAGGATCCTTTGCCTTATCTAGACTCCCTACATACTTCCTGAAGCAAGCCCATGCATGACTTCTAGAGTGGGGTGAATCCCTAACTCCCGGCTGTTTGGTCCCTAGCTTTCCTTGCTTATCTATGGCCCTCCCTCAAGGAACTACCTTCTATTTAGCTCCCAAAGGAGGGACTTTACCTCTTTAAATGGGTAAGGCCTCCTCTACATGTGTAGGTAAAAGTGCAATGGGATTTAATATGCAATTCACACAATTGTGCCTCTTGCCATGCCACATGTGCATGGCAGGAGGTGCAACTGGGATTGTGAATGAGATCCCATTGTGCCTTATTCCCCTTGCACTGAGAAGAAGCAAGCTCCTGTGGCACTGGCAAGAAGCAAGCTCCCACAGCCAAGCGCTCTAGACATTCCAGTTGAGGGGCTTCCAGGCACTGTGGTGATCTGCCCAGCCCAGAGGTACATGAAACACTGGAGGCGGGAGGATCACCACTCAGGCAATCGGTCCACCCCGGGGGTGTACGAAACCCCTAGGGGCAGGTGAAGTCACCACAGTAGCAATCCTCCACCCTAGGGGTTTCCACACACCTCCAGGGCAGGGAGATCACAAGAAGGCATGCTGCAGGGACTCAGCATCTGTAGCTATGGGACTCTGGGTCCCTGCAGCTGCAGGGTACTGCTGTGACCCACAGTTCGCAGCTGTTGGGGCTGAAGGCCCCAAACAGTTTTGAGACTTGCAGCCTCAGCTGGACAAGGTGCACACCTACAGCTGGGAGCCCATAGTTGACGGGACTGCCAGCCACAGGGAAGACCCTGCTACACGTGCAAATTAAAGCTCAATAGCAACCAGCTATAAAGTTAGTACACATTTTGAAGGTTTAACTTTACAGCTGGTTGGAGTTTTTTATTGTGTGATAAGTATTTTGCACATGTTGCTGGTCTCAAGGTAACGGAACAATTAACCAGTTAATTGTGTGTGATACCTGGAATGGAGGCCTATGAAGTACAACCTGAAGTCTCTCACAGTAAAACAGAGAGCTCCTTGCAATAAAGGCAAAGCTAAAGAGCAAGACAACCTTGCCCCATCCAAAGGATTAAGCAGTTCCTCTGTGCCCAATCCAGCCCACAGACCTGAGCACCCCAAAGCAAGGTCCACTGTTTCCCTCCTGGTCTCCCCCAGACCTACTGCTTTTTCAGCTGCTCTCTTTTTTTTGTCTGATACTCCTCTTTCACTGCTTCCCTTGAAATCTCATGGTTGTCACCTCCAAAGGAAGGCTTCCCAAGCCAACCTGAGCAGTCAGCAAAGCTAATCAATACTTTGTTGTATGCATCTTCTGTTAGACAGGCAAGGCAACTCTGGCTTCAGTCTCTTAACTCCTCCTTACACCCTGTAAAATTTCATCAAGAAAACCAAGGAAAGCAACAGAATTACACCATGCATGTATTTAAACCAGAAATATTACAACTAAAACACAGTGGGCACATCTACATGTTCATTAATGCACCTTAGATACCGTGCATTTAGGTTAGTATTTGCTTGATAAAGTACTACCTAAATGCGCAGTAGAGTTACTGTGCAGTAGCACCAGAGCACAGTTGTTTTGTGACGCTTACTGCACATTAGCCCAATAACACTGCGTAGTAGTCTATTAGCACAATTTTTAACCACTACATTACTGTGCAGTGTTAATAAGCTAATGAGCAGTAAGCATCTCATGTAGACGCACCCAGTTTCTCACAGAAGTAATTAAGCATCTGCTTAACTTTAATAATGTGAAGTCAAAGTGGCTTCTCAAACACATTCTTAAGCCTTTACTTAAGTGCAGTAGTGTCTTAGAGCCCCAAGACTATCTTGGTAAGTGAAGGGAAAAGAATTAGAAAGGACTACGACAGTTTTCTAAGGGGGATCTTGAAACCTGTTTGTAGCACTGAAGAAGAACCACTTTCTGTCAGCATATAACAAAGAAAGAGGGACACTGGAATATACTCACAAGGTCTGTGTTAAAAACACTATATGCACTTATTTAACAACTTATCAGATAAAATAAAATCAACTGAAATACTGCAGAGATAGTTCTGCAACAAGTTTCTTAGGAATTTTTTAAAAAGTGAAAGTAGTTGCAATTTTCAAATAAACATGTTTTAGTTATGCACAATCAACACTGATAGGAACAAAGAACCAAACTAGTTTTGAGATGGAGCTTATTTAAATTATGAAAAGGACTGTATGACATGGTTGACTGAGACAGCAAGGGATTAGACTCATTTACACGTTCTTGTATCTTAATATGAGAGCACTCAATGAAGAGTGTTTGTTTTCCCCTGAACTATATATGGCCATTAAACATTCAAATACTTCAGCTTTTAACACCAGCATTTAAAAAAAAAGTACGTAACCAATGTTTGGATCTATGTCAGCACATCCAAACCATGATGAAGAGATAGATAGAAATTAGAGTTTGAAAGAAAATACACTGCATATCCAATGTATACGTTAGAACTGTTTATTCATTGATTGTAAGCCACGCTATTTCAAAAATTATTTAAAACACTTATCTCTACTAAAGGACTGTTAAAAGAAAATGCACTTTCCCCCCACAAAGTCACCAGTGATTTCTTTTTCAATACGACAGTCTTAACAGGAAAAAAACAACTGTCAATACCTTACACTATTGTAACCTAAATAACCAAAACCAGTTACTGAAACAAACTGAAAACTGTATAAGGACAAGAATGAGAACAGGGCCAAAGGCCATCTCCTACATCTCAGGCATCCAATCAGCTGAAAATGGGGAATTATAAAGAACATACATTTCAGCCATAATTATCTTGTGATGCTAGACCTGATCTATAAAGTTATAATACACCTTAAGCATAGGTGACAAGAAAGGATGACATGAAAAAATAAATTAGATCAGTCCACAACCAGTTACATTAATTGATTTCTTAAAGGGTGCATACGAGAATTAAATTCATGAACTTCCGTGTTCTGCGTTACACAATTAAATTTCAACAACATCTTAAGAAGCTACTTAAACAGGTAGTACTTAAACACTATTGCATTTTAATTAATTTAGCTAATAGGGCAAGGGGTCATTTTCAAGCTACACAGGAAGTTATTTTTTAAGCTTCTACTGCAATTTCTTACCTTCATTTTACTAGCCAGCCTTTTCACAAAGGTCAATAAAATGTATAGCTAACAAACGCTTCCCCTTCAATCCTTCATATTCAACACAGCAGTCCTAGTCTATTCTAATTCTTTTTCTAAACTGAAACTGTTCTTTGAATTTTTCCCAATAATCCACTTTAAGTCTTAGCTGTCATTTAAATCCTTTCTGTATAGGCAGATGAAGGCCATGAACTCATAAAAATTAGGTTAAAGAAATCACTTGCTTTTCTTCAAAAAGATCCAAGGTTAAATGATGCACATACCTAGATTTTCTCCACCCCAAACATCCATCATCATGTCATACTTTCCTAGCTCTTCGAAATAGGATTTGTCCATCACAAATAACCCACCAGCTATCATTGGTGTTCTAAAAGAGAGAGAAAAAGAGAGAGGAGAGAGAGAGAGGGGGAGAGAGAGGGGAAAGTCAGGAAATAAATGCATAATGACCGGCCAGTATATGGTTTTTTGGGGTGTTTTGTTTTGTTTGTTAAAGATTCAAGACTCATTGATTACTTGAAGTATTTTTGGAATATTTTCTCCCTTAAGGCATTTCATTTGGCATTGCCTGTGTAACTGCACTTGCATACAGCTACATGGGTTATTCTATGAATCATGCTCCAGCATGACTTCCATAGATGATGTTTATCTCCATTTCCAGATTCTCATTCAAAGTCTTTTCTATAAAGGCTGATGATGGTGGTCATGTATACTAGAAATCAAACTGAATTTTAAAACCCGTCCCACATTCTTAGTGTCACAGACGATACTTAATTCCCTGACAGCGAAAGGGTTATTTTATAAACCTGAGCAGCAGCTGAGTGCCTTTCCTATAGTGACAATAGTTTTTTTGCCTTCTTAAGTATTTCTATCTGAAAAAAGTCAGTGTCCTGCAAGTAATAAATAAAGTAAGTCTGATACCCTTATGAGGTGGAGTAAATATCCCCTCTTTACAGCTATGGAAAATGAAGTAGTCTATTTAGCCATATTATGCCTGGGTCTATTTACATATGTGGAGTCAATATATTTTGGTGTGCTTGCTTCATGTACATCTTGGATAGTTAATCTATGAAGTTTAACAGAGGCAAGCTGATTAGGACACAGCTTTGCACAAACTCTAGAGAAGGAAAAATAAAAAATGGCTCTTTAAATCAAGTCTCAAAATGCTGCCTTCAGTAATTACATGTAACAATGGTAGCTGGATACTAACCAAGGAACATACTAATTTGGGTGCCGAATCAGTAGCATCAGTTTCTGCCTTCTATTCCACTCAGTGCAACACTGGATTGTACAACACTAAAAACCATGAGTTCAGGTAGAAGGAAAGAGTAGGAACAATGTAAAAGTTGACTGCTTCAGGCTACCCAATTGCTATGTTTTGGAATAGCACTCCAGTGGTGTATGCTTTTGTTGCACATTTAAAATCTTTTATAACAGAGGGCACTCTAGCACCAACCAGTTTTGGGAGACAGTAGCTCAGTCAGTTCCACTTAAAGTATCTAATAACATTGGTGTGCGTGTGCGCGTGTTGGGAGAAGGGGTGTCAGAAACATACTTTATGGGAGCAACAGGGTTTCCTTGTCGTGCTCTTCTTTGCTCTGGCGTCATGTAATCCCATTTGAACACCAAGTTCCAATCGAAGCCTTCGAGGAAAAAAAAATCAGAATAGAAAACAGTTGGATGTTAAAATATTTCATTCATTGTTCAGCTTTTAATATCATACTTTTCTGACTAAAATTACCAGGGACTGAGATTTAAATGTGGAAAGAGAAAAATGGAAGGGTCTGACAAAATTTAAGTCAAAATCTCAAGGAAACATGCAGGAAGCAAACAAAAGAAGGGCAAAGGAATTAACAAGCAAGAAACCAGGAGTTAAAGATGAAAGACAACACAGACCTGGGCTACAATGGAAATCAGATTTTAAAATAAAACCTCTCTCTACTTAATTTTAGAACACAGTCAGCAACACCAAGAAGCAACAGGCCTTGACCTAGCTATGTATGCATCTGCTCAAATGGGACATTAAATGGAGAGCTTTCAGTCATTAAAATTACTCTAACAATTATTAATACACTTAGAAATAGATTCGACTTTTGTGAGATCATGTATATATTGCACCCATTTTCCACAACTGCAAATGCTCTTATTTGCTCATTTATATATTACAAGAGGATCTTGCTGGATGTCACAATAGGTTAATTACAATTTCTTCCATTTACCTACATAGGAAACCTACCTTTCTCCTTTCACATTTTTAAACCACACACTTTTTAAAGTTTTATATTTTAAAACATTCAGATGAGTTTTTTTTTTTTAAATAGTTATGAATCTCTCTCTCTCGCACACATACACACACACACTTTCTTTAGACAGCTTGCTTTGTGTATTCTGCTTAAAGCAAAGAACAAAGGAATTGCCAAATTGGATTAGACCCAGTGGTCCATTTACATTTAGCATTTTGTCTCTAACAATGACTAGCATCAGCTGCTTAACAGAAACCCAACAAATGAGATAACTTATCAACAGGAAAAAAAATTCTTCCTCCACAGGAATTAGGGGGTGATTTATGCCTTCTAGCACGAAAGTTTAAGTATCTACAACCTATGGAACTTGCTCCCAATTCAAGCTAATGTGCCAGCTGAAGACATTTAGGACTAAATGAGGTCATTAATAGATTTTGTTACAAAATGTCAACTGCCTCCCTTCTGAACATGAGGACATAGCGGCACACATAAGGGAAGTGGAATATTTAGAAAAAAAAAGATAGGATTAGATCCAGAAACATTAGCACCAGTAACAAACTGTTGCACTAATGATCCATGATAACTGTCAGACATGGGCATGGCAGAATGGATAAAATGAAGACAGCTGAATCCACCTATAATTTATCCCTCAAGATATTTATATTAGTTTCTCACAAAGTAAATGCGAGTCCTGAACACTCATTACAAAAGTGTGCCAACTGGGCAAGCACTTTTTTTTAACAAGTATTAACATTACTATAAAATTGAATACTACAAGAAATAAAACACTGCACATTAAGATATTAAAGGTCTAAAATACAAAGTACTTTAAGATAAAATACTATTCACATTTTACAATAGATAATGGTATAAAGCCTCCTTCATGACAAGTAAAATGAACTCTAATACTTTGCATTTCATTAAAAAGTCTTATTCAGTACTCCACAAAATGATCTGAACTGGAACATACTTGAGACAAGCTACTGTTCCAGTGCAGAAGCAATGAAGTAATAGGAGTTGTATACATTATAGTGAACACAAGGGGTCTCTTTTGGAATGCAGGAGAGCATTGCAAAACATAAGAATAGCTGTAAAATTGTTTTTTTCTTTCTCCATCCTCACTGACTGGGGAAAAAAGAATCTGAGCTCAATGAAATGAGATCATTAACTCAATACAAGGGAGTTTTTTTTAAAGTAGCAAATGTTTATTTGTATTACCCAAATGCATATCTGATAAGAAAGAAGAATTTACTCTTACTTCATCTGAAATGTAACTTATGCCAACCTATCATGGTGTCTGCAATAAGTGATTAGGTTCAATTTAACATTCAAGTAATTAGAATTCATCAGATAATATTACCAAATAACAACGAATAGCAGAAGGAAGGTTTTCGCCTTGCAACACTAACAGGTAAAATACATGAATTTGGGAAATAGCTAGGTTTAAAAGAAACTTTTTTTCCAACCCCACTTTAAAAAAAAGAGATGTATAAAAATAAAAGAAAATTACTGTTAGAAAAGGATTCTTGTTCAAGGTAATTAAGTCTTCTCTCCAGGTATCACACACAAAAGTACTGTAAGTTTTCCCATGTTGTGTCAACACCCAATGCGTCACCTGAAGTGAGAATACTCCTACAGATGAAAGGGTAGTTCAGTTTCCATTCCTTGTCTCTGGCTTTTACTAGTATGGCCAAAAAGGACAAATGTAGTAGGTATGATATGGTAATTTGCTCACTAGGAACTGGAAGAGACCACCACAGACCTTTAACAACCTAACAATTTGAACATGCAAAATTCCCATTATTTAAATTCAAAAGTTGGTATATTCTACCTCCCAAGGCCATGAGTGCAGGGGGCTGGACACCACTTAAGAAGCATTTCAACTGTGCAAGGAGAAGTGAGGGAAGATATTTGGGAAGGACAGAGCTACAGAAGCACCACGAGAAGCAGCATGCCAGTACATTCCTTATTCATGGCCCTCAATTCCCCTCCCAGGGACCAAGAATTTAATAGAATAGAAGACATGTTTGCCACTCCTATTTAAGAACATTCTTCCCCCTTCAACACAAATACAGTGCCACGAAGTCATGCACAGACTCCAAGGACCCAGGTCATATAACAAATACCTTGGGCAATAAACTTTTGCATTTATTGAAAGCTGGCACACATGTAAGAATGATGAGGTGCTGATTTGTATAAGTCTAGATTTCAGTCACAGCAACTTATTTACCTTCTTTATAACATATTCAACAAATAACCAACTTGGACATGAAAGGCTCCGTATCTCCTTGGTAGCTTAAAAGGGTGCAGTCACTCAAAACTCAAGCCACTGGTTAGAACTTGGTACTTAGTGTCTTAAATGAACATCTACTCTGCTAAACTAGAGGCATCAGGGGCAGATCCAGGGGTGGTTAGTGACAGTGATATTGGCCGTGCCATGAATGCACAGTGAGCTCCGAGCTCAAAGCCTGGTCAGCACAGGCTCCTGCCCAAGCTCCACATGTGCAGTCAGCTTTATGAGCTCACCAGCTGATCAAAACATGGTCTGGCCAGGCCCACCACTTTTGCACAACTCCAGAGCCCAGGGAGTGAGCAGTGCCATTTTTCACCTCCCTCATCTTCTTTCTGTACCCCCATACCCTCACATTCAATTCAGCAACAGGTGAAAGGAAGGGGACAAGCAGTGGTGGCAGCACTTACACCCTGGGCTCTGAAACCATGTGAAAGCGGTAGCTCCTACAAGATCTCACTCTGATGAGCTCAGAGAGCTCAGCGTAACAGGTTTTTAATGGTTTAACTGTCAAAGTGTGCTTTGATGTCCAAGTGAACCACAAGGGCTGCTTGGTGGAGTGACAGAGATAAAGTTATATACATATACATTTTTTTTTTCTTTTGCAAAAATAAAGAGCTCACTATGTATGCAGAGATCAGGCAGGAGCTTGTGCTGACCAGACAGTGGATGTAGAACTCATTATGCATGCACAGAACAGCCAAAGAGGGGTACAGCCACACACCCAATGCTCTGCTCCTGGATTCACTGAGAGTCACCATTCGAGGAACACCAATATACTGGCACATCTGATTGAAGTAGGTCCCCAAACATGAAGGGCAGACTAGGTTTGAAGTTGAACTACCCCTCACTCCTAATGAAAGCAATTTCATGCCTGGTTAAAACACGATGGAGATTGAAATTGTATTATTGTTTGTGTCAACATCCCTAATAAAACATTTTTGTTCAGTGTTAAGCCCTTTGCTCTGAATTAAGTGTTGCATAAAGGTTTTTATTATCAGTCACGAACAGTTCACATTTATTAAGCAGAACATATGCCATTAATTTGTCACAAAAGAAAATCTTCCATTTCATTCCTATCACAGTCTGAAGAAATTTGGAAAGGGATAATGGCACTGTAGAACCTAGAGTGTGTGCACGAGTGTACACGCATGTATGAGAACGCAAGCATTTATATACATTTTATACATATGATTAATGACTAGCTGTAAGAAACTTGACACTTAATCGTATGTATACAAAGTCGACCAGTTTGAACATTTGAAAGAGTTTTTAAGAAAAACAAGCTGCATAAGTTTGTGGGCATTCTTGGTATCTTTTCAAGTCATGTACTAATGAATGTCTTATTGGATAGCAAAAGCAAAGACTTGTTGGCCCTATATTGCTCCTGAAATGTATATATAGCCACTATAAACATTAACAGGAGTTTTGATTGTGAATTAGAGGGCAGTAAAAACCTTACAAGTTGTTTACCTACAGAAGATGAATTTCAAGTCCATGTCTAGAAAGGCACCGACTGTAAGAACCTCAACTTCATGCACGAGAGGGAGCAAAGTATGCATTAAGTCTGTCGGTTCTGTGATGATAATGATGTGTGTTTTGAGTCCTGGTGCATTTTTATTTTTTTGGTTGACTCGTATTCCAGTACAGGTACATACCGCCTTTTAAATCAGCTGACGCCCCCACGTACTGGAAGTTGTCCATATTAATTACATCAATTATAGGAGACACAACTCTGGTCTTGTCCTAAAATAAATATTAAAAAAGTAATATTGAAATAATGAAGTCAATATTAAGATTCACGCAGGATGAGATTTTGAACAGTTTAGTGGGATTCCATTGCCACTCCCCCCCTCTATTTTTGACTCTCACTGAATATCCATTTAGGGAGAATGTCTCACCAGCACTTCCAGAAACAGCTGCCTCAAATGATGGCTTTGAATTCTCTCTTCATTCTAGACTACTTTTATACAAGAATAATCCTCTCCCCTTGGACTTGAAACAAAACACACAATCAACATCAAACCCAGAGTTCAGAAGGCAAGCAAAAAACAGTGATTCTCAATCTTAGACCTGGCCCAGAAAACTAGTCTCAAAAACCACTTCAGAATTCAGATATCAAGTCTCCTGCTGTCCAAGGAGCTGCAGTATCTATCAGGACTTCGCCAATCCACCATCTTAACCTAATATTTAATATATATTTTTTTTTTTGACCCTTCAACACCAGCAGATCTTCCTTTAATGATAATGCATTCTGCACTAGCATAAAGACACTTAACATTGGGATACTCCACTCAACAAATACAGAAATAGATAGATTAAAAAAAAATATTAAGTTGTCAGAAAGTCGATTCTAGCAACAAAAAAGTCTTTGGACAGCTACCACAAACACTTGCAGTGAAACTGCTTTGAACACTTCTCCTTGAATGAATGTGCTGTTTTCAAAACAATCGTGACAAAACATGTCTTTACATCAACCCTGCATATAAACATTAGGATGTTGGTAAAATCCAAACACTTTCAAACTACTCATCGTTTTCCTAATGTGATAGATTGGAACATTCCACTTTACTCTGTTTCACAAAAAACCTGCATTTTATTTATTGCTTGATAAAATGCTAACCAATTTTTTAAAAAATGTGTTTTCATGAATAATTATCGCAGAACGCTTGGTTCACAGGCAATATTCTGATACCATGAACAACGCCTCAGAACAGAATGTCATTAATTATGGGTAGGACTAAACACTTAACTCAACAAATTAGTGCCTATATTAATAAAGTGTGGAGAATACATAAAGATGTGTCTAATGAAAATGAGAAATTTAATTTTGATTAATGTGCTACAGAATAAGCAATTTCATGGTAAAAGTGCATTGGGTGAAAAATCTCTTCATTTATTTTAAAATCATATTTATGAGATTCGTTTTCAACTAGCAATGGATATAATTTATAGGTTCAGAACTCATCTCATATCAGAATGAATATTAATCTGTTTTCTACTACCAATTTTTTTGTGAGAACATTTTACTGCTTGTAATGAAAAAGGGATTGCTGTGAAGTATCACCAATTCTGTTATATCAAATCAAGATTGGACAAATAGTGAGAGGTATCAAGACCACTGTTTTGTCTACAATTATTTAATCCTAATTGCTAAATCCTTAAGCACCTCAGTAAAACCTCAGATTGTTATTAAATGCTGCTAATCTTAAGAAAATGCTAAGCATTTACAGAATCCACACTATGTTGCCATCAACCAGTCAGTAGTTCCAAGGCTTTAATCCTGCTAAATGATGAGGAGAATCTAGTTGGATCCACAGTTAAAACTTAAGATAAGATCCAAATCAATATCATGAGCTATGAGGTCAACTATACACCTTCATCAGGGACATAATGCTGTGCAAATTTACAATCAGGCCTTCCACTAATCATTAATTAGTATGACTTCATTAAGCTAAGAAAATCCTCAAGAGACAAGTCACATTTAACAGGTAGGACAGGTGAGAAAAGTCAAAACAAAGCCTTTTTGTTCCTAACACCTGATATCTATCTGCTGGGTACGTTGTGTAACTTAACTACAGAGAAAAATGGTCACTGAATGTGTTGTCAAAGGATCACTCAATTAAAATAGCTGGAAAATGACAGAATTTAAAATAATCCACTAAACTACAGAAGTGGAAATGTACATAAAATAAAAAAAAAATGAAAGCCTCCAAAAATATCTGAACAGGAGTCAGATATTTCAGGCTATGTCTATATCTGGAGCCTCCATACTCTGATAAAATTCTCTCTGAAATTTCCATTTTCTACCGCAGTTTTATATTTGACATAGGTGAGTATGGTGATCTGAAAAGTGTTCAAAGCACCTGTTACATTAGGGGGAGAAACTGCCACAATGAGGCCACACTGCCTGTCAGGCCCTAAGAACTCATTTATACCTAGGGCTGGATGTACTGGGTTATATGGCAGTTGGCTGCGCTAGCTATTCATTTTTCTGGGATTTTTCCCAGGCCACAAAACCCAGCTTGGTTAAATTTCACTTCAGTATTCATACACTAGCCCACTGGTATTGTAGCACATTTGAGGAGACTATTTGAACAAAACTCTCTCTAGCTCCTATATAGGTACAAAAACCACATGGTAATCTTAAGAGCTCAGAGGGCATCCTTTCAATATATTCCTCTCTAACTGTTTTCCTGATAACAGCCTTGTTTTTCTCCCATGATATAAACTGATGTGTGTTTTGCAGCAGAGTAGGCAGAGTTTTTATGTATTCTCAGAACAATAATTGCAGAGTGCTACAAAACAGTTAATGCTTATAAATTGTTAAAAAAAGACCTGCGGGCCTCAACTGAGAGAGATTCAGAAACACCGATTGAAAAAATTAAAAGCAACTGTTCCTTTGAAGTGGCCTTTATTTAAAGCAGACTTGCTGGACACTTACTTTCCTTGCTGATCCTATAAGGAATCTGATCTGCATTTTGATAACTAAAAAAAGCCAAGGGAAAATATGGTAAAGTTTTGCTCTGTTCTGTAGATTTTGTAGTTATTTTGCAATGAAACATGGAACTCAAATTGTGTGTGCTTCATAATGATTAGAGTAAAGGGAAATAAAAAGTGTGAAAATAAGTGCCTGGAAACTGGTCGTACTGGTACTTTAATTCTTTTAATATTGGGTAGAGGCACAATGAAGATGCTAGAAATTTAGACTATTGTAAACTCTACTCCAGTCATCAGGAATTAGTAAGAATTCTACAGGGTTTGCTTCCCTCCCTCCCCTATTAGTATTCTAGAGGATCTCAAAACTTTGAACCAGAATTAGGATTCACAACATCCCTTGGAGAAATTATGAATATCTTCATGGTGATATCTGCTAGACCACTAGTGGCTCATTTGAAGACACGCAGCAAATTTAAAACAGACATGGGAACAGAACCCAAATATTATTCCTCATCACACTGCCATTCTGTTATCATCTAGGCTAGAGACAGACATTACACATAAACTGGTTTACGTGATCTAAAACTGGTTTAAACCTGTAACAGAACAAATGTTCAGTGCACATAAACCAGTCTGAAAATAGTTGAAACTGGTTTGAGATAAACCTGGTTGAATGTAGGTTAACCGATTTGAATGGCTGAATGTAGAGTTAACCGATTTGGTTCAGACCAGTTTATGCAATGTCTGTTCCAGACCCCTTGCTGGTTTAAGATAAATCGGACTCCCCCAGCATCCCAGCATGCTCTCTGGGCTGGGCGGGGCTCTGTACTCCACATCAGGGCTGGCTCCTCCCCTCTGCATCTGCCTGGCTTCTCTGTGCTCAGCAGTGATTATTCCCCCCCCGCCCCTTTAGCAAACACCTCTGGATTAGCTAGCAGACCACATGCTGGCTACAGTCCATGCTGTAGGAGACAAAGGCAGACAGGCTTTTTGGAGCTAATCAACAGGTACCTTAATGTACTTCTTTGGAAATGTTTGAGAAGAGCTGTTTGCTCCCCTCCCTCCCTCTTACCACTCTCTGCTAAGCACAAATTCCCTTCTCCCCTCTGCCTTTGAGGAGGTGTCTATTAGCCAGCAGACCACATGCTGGGTCTGTGCTGAGTCAACAGATAGGTGGTAATGTCTCTGTCATTTTCTTAATGGGGCAATAAACACTGAGATAAGGGTGATAAACACTTATCAGCTTCCCCCTTTGCCCCGCCCTCCAGCTTCCTGGCCTGTCAGTTTGCTGTAGACAGTATACAGATGCAGGGAGGAAGAATGAAAAGCTCCATATCATCAACAGATGCATGCACTGCACACCCTGCCTTGCCCTCAGAGTGCTATCCCAGGGCTGCAGGCTGGCAACACCCCTACCCCTTGAGCAGCCAGTGGGGAAAAGCCAGGGACTGCAGGCAGGGTTGGGGTTTACACTCCTCCCTAATCAGAGCCTTGCTGGGGCCTCCCTCAGTTTAGCTGTCTGGAAAGGCAGGGAAGGCTGCTCTAGTGCCTCCTGGCTTCTAGCCTGAGCCACTGCAGGCATGTGCCTGAATTTCCTCAGTCCAGAAGGATTGTCTGTATGGTTGGAAACCAGTTCAACCTAGCTAGATTAGACTAACCTGCAAAGGTTGAATCAATTCAAGCTCAGGCTTTTTTGAATGTCTGTCCCTAGTCCTAAAGATCTAGTTTGTTTAAAATCTGCTACTGTCAAATGTGCTACTCAAAGTTTATATAGGTTTGGTGTATATTCCATCCTTGCTATACATCATTTATCTTTAGGTCCTGTACTAGCTTGATTGTAATGTGTCGTGTTCATTTAAGTAGATGAGAGAGAAGTGGAAAGTTGAAGCTCTCTCTCTCTCTCTCTCTCAAAATATTAGTATTTTATTTCTATATATTTATTAATTCAAATTATTATGTAATATAATAATACTAATATTAATATATAGAGATAGATAGCTCCAACTTTCCAATTCTCTTCCTTATCTACTTAAATTAACATGACACATCTTTAGGTTCTGTACTAGCTTGACTGACGTGCATGATGGACATAATATACATTATTAATTTTCAGTCCCTGTCAAACTGAACAGACTTTACCAACCCCTCAAATCATGTAAATGTGTATCTTACCTTTCCCAAAAGGGCAGAAAATACTATACACCTTTAACTCCTACCCCAAAAAAGAAGTTGGGACTTTGATTACACTTAAAGCTTATTTAACAGTACGCTAAGCTAGTTTCACTCTTTACACTGTACCGATATTCATACATCAAATTCAGCACCCTTCTAGACTCAAACATATGATTAATGTGATTAGTGTATATCTACATTTATGCTGCTCAGGGCAGCTCAAGACCACATGACAATAGTTAAGGAAAGAAGTTTAAGTGCATTTCATCATCTCCAGCTACCTGAAAGTAGCTGATATGTGCAACAATATGTACATCAGTTTCTTTTGTAAAGAAGATCATTTACTAATCTTAGTTCCCCATTAGCCTACTAGCACTTCAAGATGGTGCTACATTCTGTTGTTATGGAAGTGTTGAATACATTTCCTCCCTCTCACTTTAATTTCCTAAAACATTAAAGTGTTGCCTGCAAAGTTCATTGTGGCAATGCAGCAACAGAGAAACAGAAAAGCAGAAGTTCACCGGATGAGGAGCAGGGAATCTGTCCTCTACAAAAAGAGTCACAGTAGCTCAATGTTCCCATTCACTTTGTCTCCAAGTAAGTAGAGGCTCCAGTCCAGCTGCACTTGAAAGCAGTTCCCAATCTCTATTTTATATTGGTTTATGTTTGTAAGCCAAGGTTTCCTGCAACCATTTGCTCCTTCTGGAGCAACCAGTTGAAGAGCTTGCTGGGGGGGGCGGCTTTCTACTCTCTTTCGAGATGAAAGTGGAGGGGGAGATTTTTCTAAGTTTTGAAGCTTGCTGCAATCTCAGATAAATGGGGCTCTTAAATAATACACGTTATGAAAATAAAAATAATTGTAGCACCTGTATATTTAGCTTCAAGGCACTTCATAGGCATTAATCATTTATATTAGTACTGTCAAACTTCAACCAAGTTATTAATATTTGAAAACAGAATTCTAATAATCATACACAAATCATGCACTATAGCAACTACAGTGACTCTGGAAATAAAAATTAGTAGCAAGACTTCACAGAACCAAACAGCAAAAACCACCAAAAACAGTTCACAACTGTGAGTTACTGCAGACAAACTACACTATGCTCAACCTGTCCTGAATAGTTAACGTGTAGAATGTGTTTTGTTTTGTTTATTTTTAAAGGTAGGAATAGTGGGTAGTGTTAGGACATTTGCAAGATAGAGCACATAACAGAAACCATTTTAGGTATAATGGCTGCATTTACAATTCAGGCTGGACATAAGGAAGAACTTCTTTACTGTCCGAGCCCCCAAGGTTTGGAATAGACTGCTGCCAGAGGTGGTTCAAGCACCCACTTTAAATATCTTCAAGGCACATTTGGATGTTTACCTTGCTGGGATCCTATGATCCCTGCTGACTTCCTGCCCCTGGGGCAGGGGGCTGGACTCTATCTTTGGGGTCCCTTCCAGCCTGAATGTCTATGAAATAATGTGTTTGGCATTCCAAACAGCAGCATTCTTGGCTTAAGTTTTAAGTATTCAGTTGCTGAACTGATAAAAGTGTTCTAAGCAATATGCCTGTCTATTTTTCATGTTTTTTTCCCTAGCTCAGATATCTTTTCCAGAGAGAATGAGATTAGAGTAGGGTGATTCTAAGAGGAAACAGGTACATTCAGAGAACATTTTAATGAGCAGGGGGAAAGTAAAAAGAAGGCCAACTGCCCTTTTCACATTTTTATACAGTGCTGTCTAGTGCAATGTTTGTTTTTTTCCACTACTTGAGCAGAATTTGTCAAATTTGAAAATGATTGCTTACTAAGGAATATATAAAGTAGAGGTAAGACAAGGAGGGAAACAGCACATATGAACACTCTTAACCTGTCTTGTCAATGGTTCTCCAGAGACATAAATTAAGCTGAAATATCAGAGAACCAAATACCCACAGCTCCTACAAGCTTCCCATGTAGGATAGATGGACCAATGTCTCTTTCCTGGCCTGAATCTCCCTTCACAACAGCCATCAAGTATATTCAAATACAGCCACTCCTCACTTAACTTCACAGTTATGTTCCTGAAAAATGTGACTTTAAGCAAAACGATGTTAAGTGAATCCAATTACATCACAGTAGTTGCCTACTAGCAGGCAGCGGCCAAACAACGATATAACCGAACAATGAGTAACTTTAAATGAGTATGTTCTCTAATAGATTAGCAACGCAATAATGAAACAATGTTAACTGGGATGATGTTAAGTGAGGGGTACCTATACGTGGCATTATGCTAAAATGGTACTGGCTGAAGAGGAAGTAATGCTCGTCAGCTTTTAGAAACAGTTGAAACAATGACAGGTCACAAAAAAACCCAGGAAGCATGTATTTTACTTTAAAGATTATCATAAATACTTACATAGATTATGCTCTGCTGTTTACAATTTAAATGAACAAGAACTGAGAACTCATCATGAATGATGAATTAATTGTTGAATGATGAGCTGTTGCACAATCCATATTGTCCTGTTTACTCTGACTACAGAGAAAATCATTTTGTGCAAGGTACATCATATCAATCATTTTTCAATCAGGTAAGCAGACACCTTATACTAACCTCAGCTACTCTCTCCAGAAGAGGTTCCAGCCAGTGCTCATTACATTCACAGTGACTATCCAGAAACGTCAATACTTTAGCCTGTGCTGCATCTGCCCCTCTGACACGAGAGCGCATCAAGCCTTGGAAGAAAGATTTAAGAAGTCATCATTGGAGAAAGACTCAACTGTAATGAGACAAAATTACAATGCTCTAAAAAGAAAGGCAGTAATGCTCCTATCCAGCCAGCCCACAAGCCTTTTATAAAAACAGGCTGCTCACTGAGGTTCAGTGAATTAGATGACAAAAACTTCTTACCTAAGAAGTGGGTTAATAATGTTGCTATAGATGTGATGGCAAGAAGCAGAATTTGTTTGGTAATGTCTATTACTAAGCCAACTATATAGTTAGAAGAGATATTAAACAAGCTTTTTTGTCTAGGAGTGGAAGTCACCATTTTGTTTGGCTTCTTGCTGCCTCATGGTGTAAAATTTCCAACCCCAAATCTGAGGAATGGGTGCCCAAAAGCTCATCTCTCCAAGCTATAGTTTGTCCAAAAAATATATATATTGCCGAACAAATTCTGCTTCTTGCAGGATAAAGACTGGGATACATAGCTTGTATATTAATTTTGACAGAGAAGTAATAACTATAGTTACACCAGTATAATCATTAGTATAACAACTATGTCTAAAGGTACATTAGACTCGTATAGCTTCTTCATCCTTACAGAAATGAACAGTACCAGAATGAGGGCCTTTATGACCGGCACAACCAGTCACATTAGGGAGCTGCACCACTTAATCTATGCTTAGTATAGTGAAAATGTACCTATGTGCTTAGGTAAGTCCCAACTTTACCATACACTTGCAATGGCAGATTCGTAGGAGATGCTGTTGTTAAGTCTCTCCCATTTCTTAAGTCTTTGGATTTCTTGAACAGGCTCTTTATTCCTACCTCCTCAATTGTTTCCAGGTTGGCTTCAGCCTTGTCTCAAACTGCTAAAGTAACCAGCCCTTTTTTATTCCATTTCTAAGAGCCTTTGCTCAATTTCCATTCCTTTCTTATGCTTCTGTGACTTACGGTTTTAGTCCTATTCAGCTAATCATTGGCTTAATGGAACTCCTAGCGAAGACTCCTTTTCTCCTCTGGGCTATCTCAAGATTTATGAGGGATTTCTATGCCCCACCCCCCCACAAACATTTGTTCCCCAGGAGACCTCTTCTGCTCTTACCACTGCAGATAGTTCTCAAATGCACCTACCCATCCTTTTATTTCACAAAGTCCTGCTTTTTTCTTAAATAAAATATACTAAGCCCCCTGTCCTACCTCCTCTATTTTACTCTAACAGTTAATAAGCTATTCTCTTCCCTATCATTCCAGGCCAATAACTACACATTTCTTTAGCTTCCCATTTTCCTTTTGTCTTTGCACATCAGTGTCCATCAAGTCACCTTGTTTTGCCATCTAACATTCCAAAATACAGCCCTACTTCTCAAAGTCTCATTCAAAGTATGATAGCCAGCTTTTTCCTCTTAAGCCGTTTCAAGTTTTTTTTTCCTGCTGCAGTCTGGCATTTAGCAGCTAAATCACCCCCTCCCCTGAGCTTCCTTGTACTGATCTAGTCTCACATGAATTTGAAAACATCTTACTTGTATGGTTCTGCCCTATTTAGCACTTCGTTTCATTGCTCCCTACCTTGCCATGTTGCCAGCCTTGGCCATTTTCAAGGGGCCTAGGCCAAGCTGCAGAAGTGTTGCTAAGCAGAGGGCCCCAAAAGCCTGTTTCTGAGTTATCGTAGTGTGAACCTTTGCAGATGTGACAACTAACTTGGTCAGCAAGTAAAGGAAGCCATCAAACACAATTAAACAAAGCACAAGGCCTGAAAGGAGATAAGGGAGGACCATACATTAAATAATCCAAATACACTACATCAAAGCTTTATCTTAAAATAGTAGTAGTAGTGATTGATATAATCAAATGTATTAGGTGTCATTTTGTTATAATGGATATATTCTTGTTAAGATGCTTAGATAATATGTAGAAACAAAAATAGCCTGGTCAGAGAAGACCATAAATTAAGGGTAAAAACAAAAATAAAACAAACAGGCCAGCATTGAGTAACACTCCACAACGGGAAAGGAAGAGCAATAAGAATCCTTCCTCTTTCTTTCCCAAGGATATAAATCCTAACTAATTGACACTTAATTCCACAAGAGATCTGGTTTAGTCCAGTTTCAAAAGTTTCAGCAAAACAAAAGAAATTCAAATAAAACCAATTGGAGATCATTTATTGAAATATTAGAACCAGCCATCTATACTTATTGGGCATAGGCTGGAGGGAAAGTTTGGAGAACTCAGCAAAATTGAGAAGATCTGTTACAATGTGCATGCCACCTTCCTCCCCCATTTTGTCTCCCCCCCAACCGGTACAGGTGAGAATCTATGTTGTGCTCTTATGGGTAGCCAAATAGACTATGGGATAAATGCTTATTTTCATGTTTTAAAGTGAAAGCAGATAAAAGGTTGGGCTGTAGACCCATTTCTGCCTCTTACCAGAAGCCCACCCACAAAGTTAACTGTAATCTGGGTAACAGCTGTTACCCAGATGTTTAACTGTAAACTGTAAACTGTTACCCAGATTACAAAGTTAACTGTAATCTGGGTAACAGCTATTTATCACACCTTTTACTTCCCTTTGTCTCTCCTTAGTTCCATTCTGACTGTTTTTAATATAGCTCCCTTCAAACTAGAATCCATCTCTGGAGCACCAACTATCTTCATTTTCCTTTTCCTCAACTCTTTGCCCTAAAATCTAGCCTTGGCATCTTTTTTTCAGCTAGCATCTTCTCTACCTTCTTGCTCTGCAAGTTAAGCTTTCCCTAAAATCAGACTTTCTAATTTGTTTGATACAACTCTTTTCTTTTGATTCCTCATACCTCATGTCCCTGTCTCCTCCTCTTACCCTCGTGTTCCACTTTCTCATTTACTCTTATTCTCGTTCCTCCTACATTTTAGTTTGTACAGACCATGTCATCATTGAAATATTATTCTAAACTTCTGCTTTCTATTTTTATTTCCTAAATATTAAAGACATGCAAGTGACAAAAAGGTAACCTTAAAAGGTTTCCTTTAAAATATATTCCATTAAATTTGTACATAACTGCATAATAAGGAAAAGTAAATCTTTATGAAAAAACAAATGGCTAGTTCTTCAGGGAAGGAATTATATCTTTAGTCCATCTAAAGCACCATGAAACCTGAAATCATTATCATTGTTTGTAAGTTACTTTTTTCCGGTACATGCATCATCAGTAAAATATCTGGCAAACCAATTAGTTCCGCTTTTCACACTGATGCATCTCTCTGCGTATGAACTAGAAAAAAATCAGTTCACCCGCTAAATTCTACAGTATCGTGCAGAGATAAGTAAGATAAAGTCTGTTACCACTCCAAAGGCTCTTTACTGTAAATCAGCTTTCCATAATGGTTACCTTGTTCTTTTTAAGTGCTGTTTTGATCTGGAAAACATTACTGGCTTACTTATATCCCTGATCTAGTAAAACCTTGCTTTTCTGACAAAGTTTTGTTTACAAGCATATTCCAAAGAAAATATTCAAGCATTGAGTGCTCAGGAGTATGGAAATTCTTGTGCACAGTGTAATTAGTCATAACATATCAAGGTAGTATGTGCGCCAATGCTGGTTTTTGAATAGTTGTTCCAAAGGCAAAATTGGCAGGATAGTAGCTGAGCATTTATAAAAATGAATAAGCACACATTTGGTACTTTAGTCAACTATCAGTTATTTCAACAGCTGTAGGACAGTAATTAGACTAACTGCCATATCTAAGGCTGTAAACCCAACATTCAAGAAGTACCTAGCTAATGAAATGAGACTAATTGCAAAGTGAATGGTAAGTAAGAGAGAAAGATGAATTTTAAATTAGATTAGATACTTGTCACTGTTGCATAATTAGCACATATTTTTATTTTTCAGTACTAAATGATCAATTCTTCTTTTTTGCACTAAAGATAAAGAATGGTGTATTTAAAATACATAGTAGTTTAATCTGTACTTTTCTCTCCCCAGAGTTCACAAATATCTCACCTTCTCGACGGTCATTTCGAAGAATACGCACTCTCTCTATTTTCCCCAAGAGAGCACCATCCTCAGCTGCAAGACAATAATTAAATGAATAATTAACCCCACATTGATATAATTATTTTAAATATCATAACAAAAGATACAAGAAATTCAAGTTTGTAAATATTCACATTAATCTTAATTTATTTGTGACCTATGATCACCATGGCTAAGGCATTCAGGGAGGCAACGTAGCTACATTCTTAAAAGATCTCTGCCATCATATGCTGCACCTTTCTAGAGGACTTTGCCAACACAGCTATAAAATCAACACAGCAATAGCAAGAAAGATGCTGTCATGTATATAAGCCCTAACTTTTAACCAAAAGTTATGCTTCACTGTTCATATAATTTATTCAAGTTAGACATCATATTAGCTAAAAGTTTCTAATTCTTTAGTTTTATTAATAGCAGTAAGAAAGAAAGACTTTAGTTTTCTTTAGTTTTATTAATAGCAGTAAGAAAGAAAGACTTTTTTCTTTCTTTTTTTTCTCATCTTAAATGATTGTTAGTGTCAGAATCCATTTACACCACTAATACAAAATATTTGGTATAAATATCAGTCATTTATAATAAAAGCCTCTTAAAGGAGTATGGCAAGTCCTTTTTCTCCAGAGTGTATTGGACTCTAACTTGACAACTCAAAGTCCCATACTTCAGGCTCTACAAGTGTACTTACGATCATTGCTGTAGTCATCAACTAATATAATTTCCTTGATAAGGTGTGATGGACTTTTTTTAAGAACACTGCAATAAAAGGAAACCAATACTAATCAGTGTTTACTTTCCATGTCACAGTCATTTGCAATACATAGGGGTTTTCAGGGCAACAGGGTACATCTCTTTGGTATACCTGACAACTGTTCGAAGTAAAGCAGATCTTGCCTCGTTATGAAAGGTGATCACTACACTAGTGGCTGGCAAGTCTATCCGCCACTGCTTCCGTTGACACCTAAAGACAAAAAAAACCCTTTAAATTAAGAAGACAGTACTCCCACATAGTACTCATAGTAAATGATCCCCATCACAAAGCTGTCACCCATAAGGTTATTATATGTTACTACAATTTTTCTGCTTTAGAAGCATGAAATAGTTAGCTCTGAGAGGGAACGCTAGAATAAAAATTTCCTCTTTCTGCCAATTCTGGCTGATGCAGTGGTACATACTGCCAGGCATTATAACTACCACATGAGTGAGGTAGCAAAAGGATGCGTTCAGAAAAAAAAAAATCACGGTCTATCAACGGTGAAGTACACACTAGATACTGGCACACCAGACTGCATTATAGTTAACTAATATTAGAATGCTTAGCTGCTAGCCATATTCAAGCTCTCGCTAAACCTCTCCAAACTGTGACAACAGGGCTCCAATTTGCTGAGCTATCAGCTAATAGTAACACTTTGAAATTCAAAGTACAGTGCAAGTGTCTTAACAAACTAATTTATTGAGACAGGCAAGGTTCTTTGAGTAGAAGTGATATCTGTTTGAAGATCTTGGTCTAATAAAAGATATCAAATCTACTCAAAGAACTTTGCCTGCCTATGACCTTAGACCAACACCGCTACAACCAAAAACCCAGCAATTTATTGAGAAACATTTGAAACAATAGAATTAACTGAGTCAGTCAACCACTTGCCCTTCTTTTGATCTCTTGAATTTTTGGGGATGAACACGAAGCGACTGATGCATTCAAACCTAGGGATGTGCATTATAGATATATCTCCATTCTAGCATGTTAGTAATTAAAGATCTTTTTAGTGTACTCTGCATACCAGCAACTAGCAAGGAGTTAACCAACTGTTCAGCAGCTAGCAAAACAAAAGTTAGATCTTTCTTTTTATTGGACAGGTTTCAGTTGTTGCTTGAATTTAGCCACAAAGTTAAATGTCAGAATGATTACTATTTTTATTGCCTCATCATTTTAGCATATCATAAAGGAAGAGTTGGAAGTAAAGCTGCCATGCTGCCAGCTTGATTCTGCGGTAGAGGAGACAGCTGATGTTTTTCCAACCATCCCTCCTTCTTCCCACAAGTTGGCATCTGGGGCAAATGCCCTGGTCTCCCTGCCTAGTTATGTGACAGGTTCAATAGGTAAAATGGAAATACTGCTTGATCATGTAAGTGGATAGTTGAGAATTAATTCTGTAAAAAATTACTCAAGAAGCTGAAAATAACTTGCTCAGGTTATTGTTTGTAGGATCCACGTGTTAAAATTTATGCTTTAAACAAAAGAGCCCCACAGATATTAAGGCACTTTTTAGGTTAGAGAAAAATTAAAATGTTATTGCTAGGAGATGAATCAGAAAGAAGCCCTTGCCACAGAAATATTTTGAGGCCAGTAAATAACTGAAAAAGTAAAGCTTTATTTGGACTAAAATCCTCCTTTGTCCTTTAAAACGCTTGCTCCCTCAAATGGATACACATTTTACAATCCTGACTGTAGTACTTACATTACAAACACAGATTAATGAGAGCAACTATCAATACATTAAAAAAGAAAAAAAGTAGTACACTAGCTACTCTTAACAACTAAACAAAGAAAAGCTCCCACTAGTGACCTATGTGATATTAATACTTAAACTGTAAGATATTAGAAATAAAAAATAAAAAATCTTTTTCTTTTGACTTCAATGGAATGGAAATTTAAAAAGCACTTCATAATGGTTACAGCTAATGAAGTATATTTTTACAAACCCAATTATAGGCGGATGAATAAATCTCTCCAAAAAAGTCAAACTGAATCAATCTTTTTTTTTTGGTTTGGATCAATGCCTGCTCTGTCTCCCACTCCCAACATATATTTGTAGGTTAACACTGTGGCCTTGCTCTCAGGTACAAGCCTACAAACCCATATTTATAGATCCAAAATTCAGAATCTGAAAAGCAAAAGCAGCAGTGCCCTGATGTTCAGTTGATTAAAACACTAGCTAATCCTTCCAAACAGCGATAGTGGTAGAATATTCTATCTAAATCAACTCATTTTTCATCTACTTTAATGGCCCAAATTTAATCTAAGGGATTTAAATCTGAATAGAACAAAATCCCAGGATACGTAAATCCTGCAGGACTGCATGACATTAAGCTGCTTAAAAATCTCATTGACAGATTTGAAAAACACTATTAACAAGTGCATATTTATTCCCCTTCAAAATTAACAGAGATGGGGAAAGTCTTACATATCCCTAGGCCTCTTATAAGGCAATACACAGGACAAAGGCCTCTTATAAGGCAATACACAGGACAAAAGGACTTAACAATATTTCTCAACAGCGTATAATAATGTATGGGGACCCATGTAACTCTCACCATTGCGTTTGAAGATCTCTAGTTAAATATTAGAGGCAGAGTCTTCATAGTGGGTAGCCTTGACTAGCTGCACCATTACCTAACTAAAACTCAACATACCAGACCTAAATCATTGCTAAAAATACACAATAAAATTCTTTTCTGGTAAAAAATGTTGGATTCTTATTTAAAATTTTAAGTCAACATGGCTGGGATTGTTACCTTCTGTATCCAAGAACAGAGTTCACAGGATCATAGGAAAGTAGGACTAGTAGAGACTTCCCAAGGTCATCTAGTTCAGCCCCCTGCTTCACACAGGATTGTCCCTGACTAAATTATCCCAGCCAAGTGTCCATCCAACCTGCTGCTAAAAGTTCCCAGAGATGGGGATTCCACAACTTCTCTAGGTAGCCTGTTGCAATGCTTGACTGATCACCCTTATAGCCAGAAAACTTCTCATAAAGCACCAACCTAAACTTCCTCTGCTGCACATTGAAACTGTTGCTCCTAATCCTGTCTCCTACAGCTACAAAAAATCCCACCTTCCATTTTCTCTGTAATTTCTCTGCAGGTATTTGAAGACTCTTATCAAATTCCCCTCAGTCTTTTCTTCCCTGGACTAAGTAACCTTTAGCTCTTTCAGCCTTCCCTCAAAACTTTTGCTTCCCAGGCCCTTAATAATTTTTATTGCTCTGTGCAGGACTCATTCCAAACTGTCCACATCCTTCTTGACGTGTGGGGCCCAAAACTGGACATCAGTACTCCAGGTGAGGCCTTGCCAGTGCGGAACAAAATGGAATAGTCACTTCCCTTGATTTGCAAGCGACAGTCCTGTTAATTCAACCCAGTGTGCTGTCAGCTTTTGTGTGTGTGCACGTGCACTTGTGCAACAAGAGCACACAGCTGACTTGTTTACATCTCAGAGTCAACTGTAACCCTCAGATCTTGCTCTGAGGTACTGCAGCCCAGCCACTCATTCCCCCATCTGTAGATGTTCGTACGGTTATTTCAACCTAAATGCAGGATTTTGCTCTTGTCCTTGTCAAATCTCATCCTGCCGATCGTGGATCATTTATCTGGTCATTCAAGTCATTCTGGATTCTAGCCCTGTTCTGCAGAGTGTCGGCAACTCCATCCAACTTGGTGTCATCTGTAGATTTGCTAAGCATGCACTCAATCTCATCATCCAAATCATTCATGGAGACATTGAACAATATCAGACCCAGGATGGACTCCCAAGGACCCTCGCTTAATATTTCCTGCCACTAGACATCGAGCCATTGATGACTACTTACTGAGCACAATGACCCAACCAGTTATGTATCCACCTTGCAATACTTTAGTCTAGCCAATATTTCCTAATCATGTTAATGAGAATGTCCTGGGAGAGAGTGTCAAAGTCTTGCTAAAGTCAAATACTGTATTTACTCAAGTACAAGGTGAGATTCTCCAACCCATCAGCGTGGGGCAGGGGAAGCCCCTCATCTTAAGGTTTGTGTACAAAGTGGGGGAGGGGGAAGGCAGGGGGCTGCTCAGGATCCGACTCTGGCCCTCAGTCAAAGAGTCACACCCAGAACAGCTTCCTGCCCCTCCTGTGCTTACCCGTTGCAGCTTGTCCCCCCACACCCCACCACCTTTCCTCCAGCTTACAGTGAGCAGCAGCTCAGCTCTGGCTCATGTTAGGCTCCCTCCCGGGCATGGAGTACGTGGAAATTCTGCCCCCTGCCCAGCCAATCATCAGCACAAACACTGGCCAAGCAGGGGCCATGCTGCATTCAGTAGTGCCAACACTGCTGCATGGCTGGCAGAGGCTGTGCTTCTGCTTGCTGTGCTCCATGTGCCTGAGCAGTGTCTGACAGTAAGGGCAGAGTGGGAGGGGAAAACAGACAGAGGCTGTAGGGGAGCTGGGGTTGTCGGGTGGAAGGGGGGCAGAAAGGCTGCAAGGGAAAGAAGTGGTGGGGGAACAGAGGACAAGGGGACCACCTAACGCAAGGGAAAGAAGTGGTGGGGGAACAGAGGGCAAGGGGACCACCTACCCCCCCCTGCCCCAGCCACCGCTTTTTCTTCTATAGTAGTGGGCAGGGGAGAAAATATAAAAGACAGCCCTCCAATAATTAGATTCTATACCTGGAAAATTATAACAAATTTATAAATTTTCCATATACTGAATCTAATTATTGGGGGGTCATCTTAAACTCAGGGACAACTTAGATTCATGTAAGTACAGTATATCACATCTACAGCTTTAACCCATCCACAGAGCCTGTCACCTTATCATAGAAGGAAATCAGGTTGGTCAGGCATGACTTGATCTCGATGGGCACAGCCAGACAATCAGTTACGTGCCACTTGCCCCATCTCAAACCCCTTTGAGGTGGGGCAAGAGGCATATGCAGGAACAAACTTGCAGTGCGGGGGGAAAATTAGACTGCTGGATATGGGGTCAAAAAAACCTGCTCCACAGAAGAGCGGAGCAAGGCACGGTCTGGGACCGTGCCAAGAAATCAGTCCTCCAAAAGAGATGCTCTAGCTGACAGCAGAGTGTTTCTTTCATTCTCCTGCTGTCTCAGCCCCTGGCGCTGTCCAAGGTAATGATTGCCCAGTGCTGACGATTGGCTGGGTTGGTGGGGGTGGGGTGGGGAGGAGGGAGGTTCATGGGTGTAGGTG